TAGGTATATTAGGCAATGCTGCCTGGTAGAGATGCTCTAGAATCCGAGAATGGATTATACTCATCAAGGCCTGGTGGAACATTTCTTGTCACCTGTGTAACTGATGGATCCTTGAAAGGGTTATTGAGATCTGAGTCCACAAATGGGTTACCATCAAAATCTAGCATCTCTCTGGTGCTCTGCATCCCCAAGATCATGCAGAGAGAGCCAGATGAGGAGAGGCCACCGCCCATTACTTTCATCTTTTTAAAGTCATGCTGTGGCTGTTCTCTGTCCATATAGATCTGAACCTCAAATTTCTTTGGATACATATATGTGACTTCTTGCTTTCACAATCTCTTGAAAAGGGTATTGTTTTCTTTGTTCACTGTTGATATACAGAATACTATCAATTTTGTTATGATTCTGTATACTGCTTCTTTGCTATATTTATTAGTATCAGAGTAATGTTATATTCCAATAATGAATTTGACAGTACTTCTCTTTCAGTTTCGTTGAAGATTTTGAGAAGTACTGGTGTTAGATGTTCCCTGATGTTCTTATAGAATTAATTCATCATTGAATCCATCAGGTTCAGGGCTTTCCTTAGTTGGTGAGTTTTTCATTACTGCCTTAATTCCATTTCCTGTTATTAGACTATTCATCATTTTTATATCTTCTGGGTTTAGTTTTGGTAATTCCTATGCATGTAGAATTGTATTGATTTCTTTAGCTGGGGATGGTGACCCACACTTATAATCCTAGCACTCAGGAGGCTGAGACAGGAGGATCATTTGAGTTCAAGGCCAGCCTGGACAGGCCACATAATAAGTTCACAGCCAGTCTGAACTGCATGTGAGATTCTGTCTTTAAAAATGTATGTTTGTTTCTTCTATATTTTCCAAGTTTTGTACTATAGATTTTCAAAGTAAATACTTTTAGTCCTTTAGAGTTTCCGTTTTCATTGAGTTCATTTTCACATTTCTAATTGAATTGATACGTATTTTTTTCCTTTCTCTTGTTAAGTTTAGCTAAGGATTTGTCAATTTTGTTTATTCTTTTAAAGAACCAGTACTTTGATTCATTAATTCTTTGTATTTTTGTTTTGTCAGTTTTATTAATTTCTCTTCTGATGCTTACAACTTTTTTCCTTCTACTAGTTTTGAGTTTCAACTGTTCTTGTTTTGTTAGAATCTTGAGCACTGTGAGGTTATCACTCTTGTTTTTCTGATGTGTGCATTCATAGGTATAAACTTTCCTGTTTTCACTGTGTCCCATAGATTCTTATATGTTGTGCTGACATTATTGTTTGACTCTAAGAACTATTTCTTTTTTATTTCTTTTGTGACCCAAAAGTATGGGTACAGACTTATTTAGATATGTAACATTTAGCTGGTCTATCTTTTAATTGTGCAATTTAATCCAGCTTCACACAAAAAAATTCTTTGTAAGTATGGACATACTATTGCCATTTTGTTACCTATGGTTTATAGTTATTTTCCCTATTTGTAAATATTATAAATAAACCCATTTTATATGGGTTTATTGCCAGCTGCATGCTATGATTTTTTGTTAGTTTTTTGTGAGTCTAATGGAGATATTTTCCTTTGGGATTATTATGGCATTTATATAAAATACCATAGTTATAATATCATATTTTGTTAATATAAAAACATAATGAGAAAACAGATTCTATACTTTTAAATGCACTAATTGTATTTAAATGACCAATTAGCAATAAAAAGCAATAATTTATCTCTATGTGTAGAAGTCATTTATAAAACATAGAATGAATTAAAATTTTGAAACATTCATGATAGAAAACTGGATTTGATGCTATTTAGGAAATATCTTAAGCTTACGTCCCACCTAAATCAACTATTCATCTGGTATTTCTGGCTTCAATATAAAAAGTGTCTTTTCCATTAATTCACACAGAAAGCAGCAGGTGACATCTAAAATTGTGTTACACTGCTACACTTTTAAGGAGAATTCATGACTTAAACTCAGGATTGAGCTTGCCAATATTGAAAGTAATCTACTCCCATCACTTAAGTATTAGTTTGAGGCTAGAACAGAGTTTCTTAGTTATTTCTGGGGCTGTGTTGAAAAAAAATCAGCCTTGTTCCCAGGTAGAGGGCAGCAGAAACACAGGCAAATGATCAGAGCACAGTGTCACTGGAGCAAATATTTGCCAGGTAGACTGAGAACTAGAGTTTCTGTTTGTGATAGGAAAGTAGGTTTCCATATATTAAATGTTTGACACTGTGATGCTGGTATGGGATGACTCTGTTTTTGTGATATACATATATTTTGATGGTAATATCAGTTCAAAAAAGCAAGAGAAGAAAAAGAATGTCCAAGAGACCTAACCACTTTCCAATACCCTTGTCCAAAAGGGGATTGTTGGGCAATTTCTTTGTTTGCAAAACTGGAACCACACTGATGACCATTTGGTAGCTGTGGATTGCAGGCCTGTTGTGTGAGTGGATAGTCAGTATCCTTTTCCAGGTACACGAATTCTGGAGGCCAGGTACAGATGTTCTGTGACTGTTTCATGGGCTGGGTGTAGAAAGGGTCAGGACCAGTATGAGATTAAGGAGGGGTGGACACCAGTACTGGACACTCAGGCTCCAGGTGCTTACAGCAAGTTTGGAGGCCCCAAGGACTGCAAAAGCACTACCTTTTCTCTGTCTTTCTCTGTCCCTGCCATTTCCTCATTGAGATCAAGGCTATAGATCTCCAAAGATAGCATATAACCTGCAGTGAAATCACTAGGGGGAAATGAACAGGCATGGGAAACTTGGGGGAGTGAAACAGAGGTGGGACATTATAGATTTAGAAAAATCCACAGGACACAGAGGAGAAAAACTGAGGGCACTGGTCTTAAGAGAGACCAAAACAGTGAAAACTGCTTTTTATGGATTGTGAGCTGCTTCAGATGGTGAAAACACAGTGGCATAAGGAACCTTGATTTACACAAATGCTTGCATTACAAATCCTCCAGTGTCTCTTTCTCGCCTTTTTTCTGACTTAAAGTCTGCTCCACACCAGCAGTCACTTGACAAGTGCTGCATGTGTTGTGTGTGGTGAAATCGGAGCTTGATGAGCAGGATCCTTATAAGTTTTGAACAAATGGAAAAAAGTATGTAGGACTCACTAGATCAAGACTCTGCCTTGTCTATAAACTCATGCATTATCCATACCAAAGCCCCGGCACCTATGTCTCTGGTTCTGCCTAATTATAAGAAGTGTCACTTCCCTTGTTTTATCATCAAAACTTTCCACAAGCAGTAATAGATTTCTAACTAAATTGTCATGTGTACAGTAATTGTTTTATATTGTTTCCAGTCTTTGGAAAATGCACATTCATGGCAAGAACTAGCATTGAATGTTCATTTTCTCTTCATAAGAGAGTGGTTTGTGTTCTAAGGAATAAGCATATACTTAGGTTTTCAACCAGGGAATGCTCTCAGTAACCTTACCCTAGTTCTCAGAGTTCACCCACCACCCTGTGGCCTCCACACATTCTCACGTGACATCTCATTAATCCATCCATCTTCACACTCGTCACCTCACCTACCCATTTATCTTCCATCTACCTACACGTTCATGTACTCACCCACCACCCATTTACTCCTACTCCAACACACCCATCCACTCATCCTTTCATTCATCCACTGTGCTTCATACCTATACACCCAGGCACCCACTCACGTATGCACTCATCATTTATTCATCCATCCATCCATCCATCTATCCACGCAACCTTCTGCCAATGTTCATTTGTCCATCCACTCACCCACACATCTACCCATTACCTATCTACCCATATACCGATATACCAACCCACCCATCCATCTACCTATCCATATATCTACCTACCCACTCAATCACAGACCCACCTATCCATTTGTCATCTATCCATCATCCATCATCCATCCATGTACTCATGCAATTATCCACCTACACATCCACTCACCCATTCAATTGCTACAGAATATATTAATGGTATTTTGACTAATAGTGCTGTGGACCTATAAATCAGCCTGGAGAGAACTGATATACTGACTTTAATGAATCTCCATAATATCTTTCCAGTTATTTGAGTCTTTTTAATGTCTTTCAGCATTGTTTTTTAAGTTTTAGAATACAGTCTTTCACAACCTTTTATCAATATGCTCTTAGGAAATTCATATTTTCCTTCTATTGTACTTTTGAAATGTCAATTTCTAATTGTTACTACTGTAAAGAATTATGGGTGGAGTGGGTATTATATGCAAGATGTTTCATCTCTTCTTCTCACCTTCTTGTACTGGACAGAATTTCTACTCAATATTGAACAGAAGTAGTATAAAAAGTCCTAATTTTTTGTCTTAGAGAAAAGCTATCTCTAGTTTTTTTTACCATTTTATGTGAGGATAGGTGCCAACTTTTCATTGATTTTTTTGATGAGGTTGAGGATGATCCCTTATTTTCCTAGTTCAGGGCTTCTCCAAAAACAAACAAAAAACAGAATGCTGAATGATATTCAAACTGAATCAGAATGGCATAACGAATGAACCTAAGCAATTTAAAGGCAAAATCCATTAGCATTCTAAATTTGCTCTACAGAATTTCAGAAAAGTGAACAATTTAAAGTACATTTTAGCAATATATGAGATTGTTTAAATATAGGAAAAGTAAGGCAACACATAAAAATTACAAATGTGTACCTATCTGGCATTAGATATCACCAGCAGAATTAAAAATTTAGATAGTCAGGACCCAGGAGAATTCACCTAAGACATTGTGAAACCATCTGCTGAGGGACATTTGAACGGGAATTATTCCTCCTAGGAGATGCATGCTGAAGCAGAGTGGTCTGCAGGGAGAAGCCCCTCCTGCCCTACAGTATGAGGCTGAGTTGCTCACCCTCTTCAATGCCTATGCTGCAGAAAACATTAGTCCTGAAGCCAAAGGTCACATTCAACTGCCCCTGTGTGCTTCCTCTGTGAGTTTGCAGGATAGTAGGATAAACATCTGCCTCTGATCTCAGAAAAGCAGTTTCCTTGATGACCAAAAGATTCTTTGTCCAGAAATGGAGTGAAGAGGACATGAGAGACATTTTCTGTAAGAAGGGATGCTCAGTAGTCATCACTGACATTGGCTGAAGCCACCTTCACAGAAGCCTGTTGAGGCCACAGCAGAGGTGAGTGAAGCCTAGCCACTTTTGGTCTTCAAACTAACAACCAGCGCTCCTAAAACAAGTGCTTCACAAAAAATGCTGTTGGTCCCACTGCTTGAACTTCACCGTGGAGTGATAGTACTATAGTATAGATAGTCATAGTCTCAATGCATTGCGAATTTTATAAAAGGTGATTAATCAAACTTTAGAAAAGGAGCAAAAACCTTTTGGCTTTGTGCTCCATCATACAAGAAGCTGAATATTGAGCTGTTTTATGACCAGAGGATTTATTTACATGTGTTATTTTTATCTGATGTTTAATACCTGGCTTTACTAGTCACTTCCCTGCCAATAACAGTACTTTTGGAATGAACAATCTTGGAAAAAGCTGGTACCAATACCTGTGACTAAGCAAGACTTACACTTTTTTCCATTCAGCTGTGTCCACAGAGGACATTATGAAACATATCTGTGTCAACTAAGGGCAGCCTTTTGCCACCCACTGAAATGGAAATATGGAAGCAGTCATTTCAGTGGTAGCCATGTGCAGTCTGTGGCAGATTCAGAGCTGGAAAACTGAAAGGTTCTTGCTATTTGACCTTGTAATCAGAAAGAAAAATATAAGAAAATAGGGAGTATGTGTGATAAGAGGACAGTGGATATAGGTAGTTTCTCTATAAATATGCTCAACAGGAGCCAAATTTTTGTGTTGGGCACTTGGAGTTTGGAGGCATTTCAGTCTATGACAGAGGACCCCAGGGCAGTCTTGGTCCTGGTTGGAGTTCAAATCCTACAGGTTTGGGAGTCAGGCTTGCTGAGACCCTGATCTCCCTCACTGTCTGACGAGGCTGTTGGGAAACTGCTCCAGGCTGCTTGAAAACAATGCCTCGTCACTAGATTTGCCCAGACTCTTGAGCATAGTGGATCATTCAATACTTAATTAAAGACCTTTTCCTGAATGAATGGCCTAAATGAGTGGACAGCCATGCCTTTACCCAGCAATGTGTATAGATGCAGAGTTACAAAACTGATTTATCAATTTGTTCTCTCTGGAGATTAGACCCAAATCAGAAAAGGAGGAATTAAAATATCCACATGCCTCTTGAGGCAACAGAGAAAAGGGGCATCACAGTGGTCTTTGGAAAAGCTAATGTTCAGGAATTGAAATAATTATTGATCTATTAGTTTTTAGAAGGGTCATTCTACTCCTCTCCATTAAGTATGCAACACATCCTACAAAGAATATGTGGTTTTCAGCAGGGGGTACAGGCACAGGGGTGACAATCATCGTTAATGTGTCTTTCCCAGTGTACCCCTTCCATCTGCTCTCTATCTTCCATAACAACCTTCACAAAAACTAAGCTCTCTGCCACCTCCTTTGGACCCTCAAGGGATGGGGAAGTTTGTCCCAGTAGCTGGCATTCATTTCTTTTACTTTATTAAGTCCATAATGGAAAGTTACAATTTTTCCCTGTGTAATTATAAAAAATCCTTTATAGTACTTAGAAAGTAAATGAAAGATGTGTGTCTAACCGAGATTTTACTCATCTGCAAATTCTTGGCAATGATAATTTCCTCATTCTGTTTTTCATACTATGTTCTTCAAGAACAAGCTCTCTTTTTTTCCAGTTACTTACTTAGTCTAAACATGGATTCAGAGAATCTCATTCAACAAATTACAGTCTTCTGCTATCACTTATTTAGTACTATTCTTTAATTCTCGATGGTTCAGTTTTTACCAACAGGCTCCTTTCTAGCTGCATGTTTCTTCTGAGTAATTCTTTTTTTTTATTTAAGAGGAAAAAGAGAAAAACACAAAACAAAACAAAGCGGTGTAAGGGTACACGTAATACAGAACTACAAAAAAAAAAAACATAACAGTAAGAAATCACCTGTTAGTAGATTACATATTATTATCTTGAAAATAGTTGCTCAAATCACAGTATCAAAGAATACAAGGTGGACATTCAAACAGGGAGACTGCAAACAGCTGTGTTCAATGATCCAAAAACATTGATATAGTCAGCTATTTAACACCCCTAAACACACTTGCTGTTATATCCGTTAGAGCTCTTTTTCTTTTTTCTTTTTTTTCCCTCTCTTTTTTACAACAAAATTTACACATTTTGGATTTTATTACTCCTTAGTGCTTATTACTTTTGGGGGGGGGGGGAGAGAATGCAGTCAAATATGGCAAAACAAAGCTGTCAGTCAAAACCAAGGATAGACATAGCACATGGTGTGGAACAGAGTACAAGGTTATCAACAATGGTTATCAACGTTGTCTCTTGTTTCCTTAAAAAGAATTGTCTATCTCATTAGATATTATAAAGTTGGACAAAACAGTAGAGAACAAGACCAATAAAACTTAAGCATTGTAAACATTACGGGACTTCCAAAGGAGACAATAGTCAAACCAGAATGGGCATCTTAGTGAATCTTATTGCCTTCAAAGTAGTTGCCTATGTTTTCAAACTTGATACTATCATATAGAATGGAACAGAGTCTAATCAGTCAAAACAAGATCGTGGGAGTATTACAGGACTTCAAAACAAGTTCTTTTCTTTTTTGGTGCAAAGGAAAATCTAGGCTCATCTTTTATTTTTTCTTTTTATCCTGGAACCAGCTCTGGTTCCTTTTTTTGAAGACTGATACTTAAGGATAAAGATTTTGTTGTTCATTGCTGTGGGGGTTTTCCTCTTTCTGATTTTCTCAGTAGAAATAGTGTGAGTGTGAGCAGTACATATAGTAACACACACAGAGTTTTTCTATTAATCTATTTTTGAGTGCTTTTTATTTTGTTTTGTTTTTTGGTACTAGAAATCAAACTCACAACCTCATGTTTGCCAAGTAGGCACTGTGCCACTGAGCTATATCCCTAACCCAATATTAGTCTATTAAAAAGTGAGATCCTGAGATACTGATGATGATTTTGTGGATGCATACATGCCAAAACTTACCAAATTGGGGCTGGGGATTTAGCTCAGCGGCATAAACACCTTCCTTGCAAGCATGCAGTCGTAAGTTCAATCCACAGTACTGATTTAAAAAAAAAAAAGCATTAAAGTATACATCAAGAAAGTTATTTCAAAGATACGGCTCTATCCTAATATCTCCAATAATCCAATTCTAGAGATATCATTCTCATCTCTCCTCTTGGGATTGGTACTCCTTTCTCAGCCGTGAGAGACCTGGCTCCCATCACCTCAAGATAGTTTCCATTTTTCTCAAATCTCAAACAAACCTAAATTATTTTCAGTAAAGATCATTGAGACTGTTGCTAAAATCAAGTTTAATATATGAAATTAATCTTTCTGTACAATTTTCTACATTATTTGAAATAGTCAGCATTGGTGTAGCCTTCCTAAAGGGTAATGTCGTGGTGCAGGGCAGTACCCTTGCATGTAGCTAGGCTCTTTGACCCAATAATTAGCCATTAGGAGACATATCACAAGGAAATGGTGATAAGCATGAGAATTTAGGCATATGAAAGTACTTTGGAACATTATTTACAGTAACTAAAGACTATTTGGCAGTGTGAAAATTTTTAAATAAATTATGCTACATTACTGGGAATTATTTCCTCAGAGAATATGTAATGAGATTGAAGCTTTGCTTCCATTTTTTTCATTCTCTTTTTTTAAAACCCCTTTAATCATCCTCCCTTCCTCCTCACCCCTTCTGTTGTTCCCCTCCCATTTGAACAAGCTCATCTTACTTCCCAAATTCTATCCTCCATTTTGCTACTTATTTACCTTTTGGAGTTTTCACACAAGACAGACAATATATTTACACTTGTGGGTCCAATTTAATGATTAGTTCCATTTAATAGTTTAATGAGTGACCTCCATACTGTTTTTCATAATGGCTATCCCAATTTACACTACTACCAATAGTTTATAAGAGCTCTCTTTTCTCTGAATCTATACCAGAATTTGTTATTTTTTGATATTTTTTGCAATAGCCATTGTACCCAAGATGAGATAGTATTCCATTGTAGTTTTGAGTGCATTTCCCTGGTGACTAACAATATTGACCATTTTTCATATATTTGTTGGCAATCTTATATACGTATGTATTTTTGTTCAGTCATTTCTCCACTTTTAAATTGAATTGATTTTTTTACTGAATTCTTTGATTTCCTTATATACTCTGTATATTAGATGAGATGTTCCAATCTATTTTATCCTATTCTGTAGGTTGTCCTTTTTATATTTATTAGTAAATGTTTGCTCTCAGAATAAATCTAGTAAATTGTCTCTTTGTTGATTGCTTTTCTTCTTGTGCCTAGCTTCTTAGTATAAACAAACTCATTTGTCTTTTTCTGGTCTGGTTTTCTTGTCTATATAAATATCTTGAAATATTTTTCCTATATTTTCTTCTAGTAGTTTCATGTTTTTAGATACATTTAGACATCTGATTGACTTTAATTGATTTCTGTGTAGTGTGAGATAAGGACTGTTTCTTTTCTTTTCTTTATGCACATCCAGTTTTTCCCGAACAATTTATTGAAGAGACTGTCCTCTCTTTAATATATGTTTGTGGTGCCTTTGTCAAGAACTAGTGAGTTGTGGATGTATGCAGTTATTTGCGGATCTCTATCATGTTCCATTGGGCTACATGCTTGTTTTTATACTGATAGCAGGCTGTCTCGGTTATTATAGCACTGTACTGTGTCTTGAATCTGCTATCATGTTGCCTTATAGTTTGCTGTTTTGTTCCAGATTGCTTTGGCTATTCAGGGTCTTTTATACTTCTGTATGAAATTTAAGATTATTATTCTAGTTTTCTGAAAAATGCCATTGTACAAAATCTGCAAATCACATTGGGTGGTATGGATATATGAATATTTTAATATTCCAATCCATGAAACATGAGAGATCACTCTATTTGAAGAATGTATGCCTTCTTTAATTTCTTTATTAATGTTTTACAATTTTCATTTTACAGGTCTTTCATTACCTTGCTTAAATTTATTCCTAGTTATTTTACATTTTGTAGCTCTTGAGAATAGCATTGTGTTT